CGGAGGGGAAGTACTGCTGTACGGAGTAGATCAATCAAGCCACCATCCGATGTCTCGGTCCGAGGTACATTGGACTTGGACAGGGATGTTGGTCTGCTGAAGAGAGGGAGGTGTGTCTGGGGTTGATTGATACATAACTTGCGAGTGATCTACTGGTTTCTGTTTTGGGTGTATTACGATGGGTTTGTCTCGACGATTATACAGTAGAACTCAAAAGGTAACGGTTGTTCTCGTGATTCTCTGAATGCTGGAGTGCTCAAGTGCTTCAGCGACATTGTGGACACAGCGGGGGATTCTCTCAGACGGGGAAAGATACCTTAAACAGTGACAATTGGAAACTGGCACTTCCAAGATGGGGAGAAGTGATCGTCCGCGCGGGGGAATGACGGGCTGACTTAAGCCTACACGCTCATTTGCTCTTCCCAGCGGCATGTGAAAGGGACTCGAGCTCCATTGTGTCATCATCATGGGCTGGGGAAGGAAAGCATCTGCTGACTCTTCTGGGGAAAAAACCAACTTGCGTTTCGGCATGTGATGGTATGGATGGAAGAGTTGTATGTAGTTTGAAGAAAGGGGGAGGTTTTGTGTTAATATACAGGTACACACATTCCAGTGGGGCAATTTATAGATAGCTATCATCCTCTTGAAGGTCGTTGTGGTTTTTAAGGTTGTGGTGAGCAGTCTGATTAAGGTCACACTTGTCAATAAGTATGTACTGTGCTATACTAGCACAGACTGACTGAAGATATTCAGTCTGTCAGTATTGAGCTGTTCCCATACAGTACCTCAGGATTGGAGCTGGAGCGGGCAGACGGTATCGATACGTATGGTATGGACAGGGTATGGGGATGAGCCTCGGCCGATAAAGCAGCTCTCCCCCGATCGGCTTCTGAACATTGGAATTCCCTCTCGCTCCCTCTCGCTCCCCCGGATCCTTGGGGATTTCTCTTTCTTAAGATCTGCCCATCATCATTCTCCTTCTTCAAATACTTTTACCTTTCTTTCTCCCGATCTCACTTCTGTTTCTCCTTTTACTTCACTCCATCCTATCCTCCATCCTCTCATACACTCACACACATTATGACGACTGCCCCCAGGATTATTGTAGTTGGCGGTGGATGTGAGTGTCTCCGACTTAACCGCTTCCAGCTTTCCCCGCATTGCTGACCATTGCCTCGTCGCTCAGTGTCCGGTCTTAGTGCCGCCCACACCATCTACCTCAACGGTGGAAATGTCCTCGTTCTAGACAAGCAGGGTGCGTTTTCTTCCCGCTATAGAAATAAGGATCGCAGTCTAAAGCCGCCATATTCTCTCTGTCCTCGAGGCTAACTCCAGACAGCCTTCTTCGGTGGCAACTCCACCAAGGCTACTTCCGGTATCAATGGCGCCCTGACCCGCACCCAGGTCGACCTGGGAATCCCCGACAGTGTCAAGACCTTCTACGAAGATACCCTCAAATCTGCCAGAGATAAAGCTCGTCCGGACCTCATTAAGGTCCTGACCTACAATTCCGCCTCCGCGGTCGAGTGGCTGCAGGATGTCTTCAACCTCGATTTGACGCTAGTTTCCCGCCTGGGGTGAGTTGTGCTTGTGACCGGACCATCTTGGTGACTTCGAGCCATCATGCTAATTCCGCGCAGCGGTCACTCCCAGCCCCGCACCCACCGTGGCCACGATGCCAAGTTCCCCGGAATGGCCATCACCTACGCCCTCATGCAACGGTTAGAAGAGCTCACCGAGTCGGAACCCGACCGTGTCCAGATCATCAAGAAGGCCCGCGTTACCTCCATCAACAAGTCCGGAAATACTGTGACGGGTGTCACCTATGAGTACAACGGCGAGACGCACACTGCTGATGGTGTGGTCGTCCTGGCCACTGGTGGCTACGCTGCCGACTTTGGCGATGGATCCCTGCTCAAACAGCACCGTCCGGACACCTTCGGGCTGTCCAGCACCAACGGCACCCACGCCACGGGTGATGGTCAGAAGATGTTGATGGAGATCGGCGCCAACGGAATCGACATGGACAAAGTCCAGGTGCACCCCACGGGTCTTGTCGACCCCAAGGATCCCACCGCCAAGTTCAAGTTCCTGGCTGCCGAGGCGCTCCGTGGTGAGGGTGGTCTTCTCCTCAACTCGGACGGTGAGCGCTTTTCGGATGAGCTGGGTCACCGTGACTACGTCTCTGGACAGATGTGGAAGGAGAAGGAGAAGAACAAGTGGCCCATCCGCCTTGTGCTAAACAGCAAGGCCTCCAATGTGCTCGACTTTCACACTCGTCATTACTCCGGCCGTGGCTTGATGAAGAAGATGACTGGCAAGGAGCTCGCCAAGGAGATTGGCTGCGGCGAGGCTGCCCTCAAGAAGACCTTCGACGACTACAATGCCATCGCCGATGGCAAGAAGAAAGACCCTTGGGGCAAGCGTTTCTTCCACAACTTGCCTTTCAGCATCGATGATGACTTCCACGTGGCCCTTATGGAGCCCGTGCTTCACTTCACCATGGGTGGTATTGAGATCAACGAGCACGCCGAGGTCCTGAACAGCGAGCAGCAGCCCTTCGAGGGTCTTTACGCCTGCGGTGAGCTTGCCGGTGGTGTCCATGGCGCCAACCGCCTGGGTGGCTCTTCGCTCCTGGGCTGCGTCGTCTACGGCCGTGTTGCCGGTGACAGCGCCAGCCAGTTCCTCTTCAAGCGCCTCCTCTCCGGTGGCGCGTCCACCGCCCAACAGCGTCTGGGCCAGATCTCCCTGCACATCGACCCGTCAACCCCGGGCAAGATCGCCGTCGAATGGACTGGAGCCGGTAGTGGTAGTGGTCAAGTCTCCGCGGCTGCCGGAATTCCTGCTGACTCGGTCCAGGCCGCGAAGTCTAGCGCCACCCCCGCAGGTGCCCCGGAGTCTGCCAAGCCCACCAGCCCGGCCAAGTTCAGCATCCCCGAGACGGAATACTCCATGGAGGAGGTGGCCAAGCACAACAAGAAGGAGGACCTGTGGATCGTGGTCAAGGGTGTTGTATTAGACGTGACCAACTGGTTGGACGAGCACCCCGGTGGCGCCAATGCTCTGTTCAACTTCATGGGTCGCGATGCCACTGAAGGTTGGTTTTTCCTCTACGATGTTTAAGAATGAGACTGACCAGCCACTTTTAGAATTCGCGATGCTCCACGATGACGAGGTCATCCCCAAGTACGCTGCCCACATTGTGATCGGTCGCGTCAAGGGACAGACTCCCAGCCTAGAGCTGTGATTTGCGCGTTAGAGTCTGTTTTTGTTACTTGGATGAAAATGATCTTGCAGCCATGTTGATACATACCCTCGTCAGTTTAATTATTTTCTTTTCTTTCGCTTCGCTTTGCTGTGATGCATGCATGCATGCCTTTGATGGGGCTTAGACGTTTGGTTCTTTCTGCGGTGGTTGTAAAATACAAGCAGTATAAGATATCAATTGAAGGATATTCTTGGATTCTGCTGTATAATTCAGCAACTATAGCAAGGGTTCATCCTGAGGTCAGGCCCGGTGTTGATGACATGTCGGGATGCGTAGATGGTGAGTCGAATGGATAGGACTAGCTCAAATTGCCTTCTTGGGCGAAGTCCACGAGAGACATGACAGACAGTAATGGGACAGGGGGTATATGTGTAAATCATAAGTAGCAGTGATGCACTAAGGCGCTGGGATGATGATGTATTACATTGTAAAATGAGGCGTGGGTGGGGGGTCACGCAACGGCAACTATAGCCCGCGCTGATTCTATGCAGGTCCGTCTAGGTTCCTGGGAACGAGTGACATTTGAAACAGACCCTAATCGAGGATCCTTGGCCTTCTAGACCCCTCGTGTGGATTACACTGTGAAAACGGGTTCATGGAGCCATGGTCTGGTGTATAGATCAGATAATTGCTCAGGTCTAGCTCTACTAGCACGAGCGGAGTTGGATCCATGATTTTAGATGCATAATGAAGCATGTTGGGCGTATTCCCTCGGGCTCGTGTTCGGACAAGACTTGATAGATGAAGCGATTTAATTGCTTTTGTTTCTTGTTGGACAGGGATGGATGACATGTCTTATACATGCATGATGGCCGTGGTGGTACGCTTACCTAAGGATCTTAGCTTGGTTCGTATCTGTTTATTGTTTGGCTCCTTTTGGTTGTTGAACCCGTCACCGTCTGCTTTTCTATCTCGACCATCGGAACAACTGATCGAATTGACTGACACCTTGAGCTAGCTCAAGGGAGGCCTGGTAAAGCCAATCTAGATCGGTGCCTGACTCCACCTGCAATCTCCAACATGATTCGACCTCTCTAGACCAAACACGGTCATTGGTGGCTGTTTCAAGTGGCCTGATCGCTTGCCTGTGCCTGTGCCTATGCTGACCTTACCCCCCCCCCCGAGATCGATGTCCGGGATTTCCGGCCCATTCCGACGACGGCAAACGCACGCGGGCAACGCCAGCCGCAACTTTCAACAGCAAGCAAAAAACAACAACATGCAGCCTTCGCCATGATTCCACTATCTTATCCTATCCCGCCACCATCATCGACTATAATCCTTGAATACGACCACCTCTGATCAACCCCCAACCCAACCCCAACCCTGTCATTCCCGCCGGCGATATCCCGGCCTCGACACACCTGCCCTCGGCCGAAGAGCCCCCTCCTCGTGTGGTTCGGGGATCGGCCCCTAATTACGATTCACCTTACTGATCATCTCTGTTCAATGAGTGCTCCACCACCAATCCCACCCAATTGCGGGGTGGGATCGGGGCAATGGTACCCGGCGCGAGCTGAAAAGCTGCTGGGACCACTCGCAATCTCGAATCCGGGTCTAATTGACAGGGGGGACGATTTCGCTTTTCGCTTTTCGCTGTGAGAGTGGGGGGCGCTTGTCTTTCGCTGCAATTCCATCTTAATCTATTTGCCGTGTGGTCATTGGGCCGCGACATGAGTCGTGCTCAGCCGCCGGTTGTTAATGGGCAGGGGTGGGAAAGTGGGCGGTGCGGACTGAGAACCTGGTGAGCTGGCTGTCCTGTCCTATCCGCTTCTCTCTCGCACATGTCCGTGGAAATGAGAGCATGCTCGGAGGTGGTTACGTTGGATGTGTGTACTGTATAGTACCTGCGGCAGCGGTGGCCTGTGGAGCATGGCAGGGAAGTGCGTTCCTCGGGTTGCGTGCGACAGGGCCCAGATTCCCCGAAGGACGCAGGCAGGCACTCAAGGGCTGAGAAGTCGCGTGCTAATGGTGGTTAGCTGCTGTTGCTGCTGCTACTGTTGCTGCTCGGAGATAGTACAAATGCTGGTCCTCCTTTCCCTGACACACGCGAGGCCCTGCGCTGCTTTTTTTTTTTTTTCCTCTCTACGTCCAGCGATCCTTGATCTTTTTGACCCTCCTGTTCAACCTGCGAGAAATACTGTGCTTAGTGGCTGGCCACTGACTCTCTGATACCCTCGCTCGCTTTGTTGGATTCTCAGTGCACGTGAATTGGGCCTTCCAGCACCAAAGGTATCGAAAAGTACCAGCTACACATCTTGCCACCATGCCGAACCGGCCTAAGTTGGATCAGTTTGATATTCGACATGTGGATCGTCGGGAGCTATACACGGACTTCAAGAAGCGCATCGCATATTTGAAGGCGTTCCTAAATCTAGTGGAAGGTGCGGATTTCTTTCCCAATTGATCTTATAGAGGTTCTAACCTAGGTTGCCTGCTAGATGATATAATCGTCTTCAACAAAGGCGCCAAGTACCTGAAGACGGCGATCCCCGACCTCACGCATCGCCTGTATTCCAAAATGCTCGAGTTTGACATCACAGCCCGCGCGTTGCGGACTCGCAACACCGCCTGCCACGCGCACGTGGAGGATCTCTTCACGATCGACAGTCCGCACGTCGAGCGCCGCAAGATCTTCTGGAAATGGTATCTGACCCGGCTATGCAACGACCCAAGCCAGATGGAGTACTGGGAGTACTTGGAGAAGGTAGGGTAAGTCTCCGGCTATTGCTTACATGTGCGCGTATCAGATCTCTAACGTGGTCCTAAAGGAGGATGCACACCGGTAAAGAACTGCTGCACCCGTTGAACATCGAATACATCCACATGAACGCCTGCCTCCGGTACGTGGAAGACGCGCTGATCGAGTGGGTCTCGCTGCACCCGGAGATGACCGTCCGCTTCAAGTTCGCCCTGATCCGCGCCCTGAACAAGATCATGTGCATCCAGAACGACCTGATCTCGAAATGCTACATCCCCGCCGGGCAGGAGTATGAAGAGGGGTCCGAGGAAGGCGGGCCGACCACCACGACAACGATACCAACGGCGGATGACCCCCGCCGACCGAGCGTGGACACGATGGCCTCCTCGCCATCCTCACATTTCCGGCCCCGCGCCGAATCCCAGGCCACCACCGGCACGACCGCCTCCAAGACCGCGAGCAGCATCCGCAGCGCCGAGACCCAGCTTTCCGTCCCGGACAGTCCATATCTGCCCCATCATCCGAGCTGTCTAACCCCGGGGTTGGTGTCGAGGCCGACCTCCTCGGCGGGCGAGTCTTTGAGCGCGAAGAGCATGACGGCGACGACGACGACGACGACGAATAGCCAGATTGATCTGCTGGCTCGCGCGAGCCCCTCCACGACCACCACGACCACCACCTCCGCGACAATAGACTCACGTAGTCATTACCCGACCACCCCGCCCTCCACGTCCTCGAGTAGCAGTCTGCGTCCGGCGCCGACGAATCTCTGGCGCAATTCGATGATCGGACTCGTGGCGCCGTTGACGGTGGAGTCGTTGCAGACGCTGGAGACGAAGATTTGGTCGGAGAGGAGTTGACCTGGTTGACTGGCAGTAGGTGAAGCGAGGAGGGTGGTGCGCTGATGCGACCCTTGCATTTGAGGGTTGAGGGTGGTGGTTCCGTATGAATTGTATATAATATTTATTGGCTGGGTATGAATCTGTCTAAAAGTGATATTTTCAATTTTCCGGTGATTGTTCTTGGGCTTTAGTAGGTTTCCAATGGTGAGTGTTAGGTAGGTAGGTTTGTTCTGGAACGTTATGTAGTAACCGGTGGGTATATTGCAGAGCAGAGTGAGAGAGGTCCGAGCGAGAGCAGAGGAGCACGCGGGAGTTGTAGTTCACTACACAGACTCCGGTCATCCCTGATACCCCCATTTGCACAGATCCTCAAAAGACCGAAGCGTCACTGCAGTGTGCTATCTACTATGTGTCCTGGTCTGTCGACCGCTCCCATGTCGACCTGCAATCCTAGGACTACTACACCTACAGTACAGTACATTCCCAACCGAAGGCCGTGCTGGACTGGACTGGAGACCGGCTTCCGCTTCTCCGCTTTAGTTCGTCGGCGCGAACCTGGTTTCCTTGAATCGAATCGAATCGAATCGAATTGAATTGATCTGAACTGTTACCTCATTCCATGGCTTTTTTGTGTTGTTTGGCTTGTGTCAGTGGAGGTATGGCAGAAAGGTTATGATAGGTTACTGGGTGGATGCCGTGTATTATCTGTATATCCCGTTGGGGTTGGGGGTGTATATACTTCTGGTGCGGTGGTTCGGTCATTCGGTGGCTCTATTGCTGGGTGTAATTTTGTGCGTGATAGTCTTGTCTAGGAGGTATCGTCTCAATTGGATCCAGATCCCCAGAGGGGAAGAAATCGAGGATTGAGGTTGTATATTCGATACTCCGTCCTCGAGGATCTAGTTAGGAGGAAAGGTCCGATGTCTGTGGGCCAGTGGGGATTGCGTTCCTTCTCCCAGGTGAATTTGGCGTGGGTGGAGTGGGGGACTTGTTGTATATCCTAGGTCAGGGGTGGAGTGCGCTGCAGTGTATAAGTTAACTGGATGGTGAGGTGGATGGGTAGATGAATGTGCTGGGTGGTGTTTGTATTCCCTGGTCTCCCGGTTCTTTGGCTTTGGTTGGTTTGTATTAGGAATCCGGGGTGGATTTCCCCCATTGACAATACAATTGGGGGAGCTACTCTGCCGGTGGATATGATTGTTCTAGCTAGGTCTGGCTGGGTAGAGTGTGTGTTCGATTCTGGTGTGGGGGGGGGGGGGGGGGGGGGGGGCGAGCTGTAGATATATCCGAATGGACGGTCGTCGGCGCTGGATACTGGGTATCTACTGGGGCTGTAATTGAAGATGGAAGACTTGTCGGTCTGCGTTTATATCGTGGTATCAAGGTATAGAGGCAAGGAGTTTGTTTCGTTCGCTTGGGCCCGTAAAATATACTGTAAATGCCGTCTGCACTACACTGTACTCAGGCAAGTATGGTTTAGTTGATTTAGGGGTTTTGTGGTTGAGGAGATGATGGGATAGCTGCTATTATTGGGGTACTTTGCTTGGTGGTTCTGGTCTACTATATCCATCGGGTCAAATGCTATTTGGGTGGGTATACACACAGTGTAGTTGTGTTGCTTGATGGGGAGTGGAGAGTTGTGTTTCGAACGGACGATTTGCACTGCGTCTGGGTGCTGATCAAGCGTAGAGATAAGGAGTCTCCTATTGTTGATTACAAATACGATAGTGTGCATCTGGATTGGGTATTCAAGGAGGTATTACTTAGCTTGTTTTATGTGTGTATTTGGGCAATTAGAATTGGATATATATATACTTGATATAGTAGTGGAGCTGATACTTGACGCAGCGCTGTAATTCAACTCGATGGACAACTCTAGATGCTGCACAGACTGTATCCCTAGACGAGGCCTGGCCAGGAGCTGTCTCATGATACATAAACACATGCATCGCGTCCACCTCCCAGAAGTGCTACTTTCCCATTGCACCAGGACCCGTCTGCATATGCTTCAAGATCATCCTCAGACGTCGTACAGCAGGGCCATCCGCCTCTTGACCATCTGAACCATCCCTGTCCTTGGACTGTAGCTCCTGGGCGGCGGCTTCCAGCGTAGGTTGCAGGTAGCCCCATACCTCGTCGTGGTATCGCTCTTCCACCCCGAGCCAGTCCGCTGCGCCTGGTAACCCCGCCATGACCGCGTCGCGCAGGGTCACGGCGTCTGTATTGGCTGCTGACGGGACGGTGTCGAGGAAGCTGCTTATATCAGGGACGAGACTATTTGAGTTTACGTGGTTGGTGGTGTGTGTGTTGGTGGTAGAGGTAGGAAGCACGCGACGGAACGATTCGAGGATCTGGATCTCCGCGGGGGTGAGCTGGGCTGGCGCGGAGAGTTCGGTTTCAATGATCTCTGCCGGCTCGTTGGCGGACGGGGGAAAGTTGGGGTCGAAGGTCAAATCGGAGAGGAGGGAGACCACTGCGGCGCCGTCAGACGGAAGGGCGGACGCTTGTCCGCCTTGTTTGTCCTGAGACAGACCCCATTCGCCGACAGCGTGATGACTCGGTGTCCATCTCCCCTTGCCTTTGCCCGTGTCGACTGTGCTTAAGTCCGCTGCAGTGGGTGCAGTTGCTGCAAGGTACATTCCATTGCTGCCGTTGAGGGATTCTTCCCCATACGTGCGCTGGAATTCGTCTTTTGTGAGCGAGGGAAGCTCGAACCCTCCGGCGTGGGCGGTGGACGATGATCGGAATGCTTCGAATCGTGTGGCCGGTGCTTGATCTGCTGTCCGTGAAGAACTCAATCCGGTGGTTTCGTGGTATTGCTGCGCTGCTGCTAGGGCGGACTGTGAGGAGGACGAGGCGGACGGGGCTTTCCCACTGCCGGCCAGCAATTGAGCGGTCTCTGCAGAGGGCTGGCCCGAGGTGGAAAAGACATTTCTGACGAGTCCAGACGCGGAATCTTGGATGCGACTGGCTAGCGAACGGCCATCCTGGTCGCCTTCGTGGGCCCCGGCGGAGGATTTGGGCTCGGGCTCCTTGCGGTGAGGGTCGGCGGGTTTGTCGTCACGGTTGCCCCGCTTCTGGTTGTCGGGCATGGTTCGTGACGAGCGGGGAGAGAAAGGGAGGGATCAACCTACAATATTCTGTCAATCGGTGGTGGCGGGGACAAACAAAGAGATCGGCCGATAAAGAAGATAAATCAGAATTGTCACAAAACTGTCACTGAATTATTTTCTCCCGCTAAAGCTATATAGTATGTAGTAGTGTAGTCAGTCAGTGTTCGGCTCAACGGGCGTCGCTGTCGCCGTCGGTCGGGATGAATAGACAAGTCGAGAAGGACAAGCATGTGAAGAGCCTCAGGCTGCCGGCATGGCAATGGAAGGAAACCCTGATTCTCAAGGCAGCTAAAAACGCCCGATGGGGAAGTTGGTAGTGGGAGAGTCCTGAGCTGAGCATCCTCAAGTCGCTCAAGCCCGAACGGATCCTCCGGTCATTGTGATGGATGAGAAAAGATCCTTTGCAGCTGAATGGTCAGTTATTTGGCATCGTTCATTGTTAGTAATGGCCATCGTAGTGGTTAGTTAGCTTGGAGGTGGTCTGGACGCTCTAGCTATAACACGACCGGGTGCAGAAGAACAACCGGGAAGTTGAATAGGTAGAATAACGGTCGAACAACAGAAGTAAAGGTAAAGAGCAAGAACAAAGGTCAGAAAGAATATTGCTTCATAAAAGACTCAATCATATTTCGACACAAACCCCCATGATGGCGGAAGATTCATTGATATCTACTTAGTACCTTATTTATCAAACCGTCGAAAATGAAAAAGAGTGGTTGATGTCAGCGCCCAGCTCAAGTTGGGTTGGGTTGACTTGTTGCTGCGTGTGGGTTTTTTTCGAATTACGGGCAGCCACTCCATCCTCTCCTTCCTCCCTCCCCCTCCCCACCAACTAACCACCACTGCACTGACCGACCGACGGGCGGGTGTTTCCAAACCACCGCCTCACCTCAACCACATACACCACCAGTACCAGCACCCGCACCCAGCACCACTACTACTACTACTACCACCACCACCACCGCACTTCACTCCTCCTCTGCCCTTCTCCTCCTCCTCTCCTCCTCTCCTCCTCCTCCATCTTACCCAGTATCGTCATCCTCTTCCTTCCCACTTCCCCTCCTCCTCCTCCTCTTCCCCCCTCCCCATCCCGCATTTTCAACTCCCACCTTCTCTCTGCTTTTCCACTATTTTATCGGCCACACTATCTGGCCGGTTTCAGCCGTTTCCTTGAGGTTTCTTTCTCTTTCTCATAGATAATCCCGCCCACTCCAATCTTGATGCACCCGAGAGAAGGGAGTTTGAGGCACGACTAAAATCCCCCCCCCCCCCATCCCCCCACGAAAAAAAAAAAGACCGCCAAAAAACTCCTCTTCTTTCCTCCATCCTCTTGCTTCTGATCTTGTCAGCTCTGGCTGCCAATCTTTCGTCTTCTCCAGCATACAAGTGACTCACCCGATCTCTGCCAATTCACCTTCTCGGCGGATATCACGGTCTTGATTCCTTTCCTCTCCGCCCGCTGCATTTCCTACCCGAGCGTTGGAACCTACCTCATCCTCACGCAAACCTCATCCTCTTAGCGTAACTTGTCGTCTTACCTACGTGACTCGCATCAATCGATTCCTCTTCCTAGTCGCCCACCACATAGATCCTCGCGTGAAAAGTTCTCCCGCTCGAGTCTCTCCGCACCATATCGATATCGGCAAACCCCACCTTAATTTTCTCAACCCAAGATCCTCGACCTGTGGATCTTGACACCTTCCTTCGTGCTTTCCTGGACACTGCCCCGACAAAGGGTAGAATCGGAAGAAAATGGTAGACAGGGATCCGGGTAATCCTACCTGGAAGTTCACGCAGTAAGTGTCATCTGCCAAGTATCCTCTTCCCGGAGAAGCTTCCCTTGAGCCCGCTGCGACCCTCGTTCCTCATAGTCTTGCTGCCCGGCAAGGAGTTCGATAGGCCCTCGTGGAGGCGCCTCGTTCTTCGTTCTGTACAACTCGTATTACTTCGTGGTACTAACCCCAACACTAGGTGCTTCGGTGACAAAGGAGATGTTGAGGATATCACGGAAGGTACGCCTTTTGAGGACTCATTCCCATGCATTTGCCTCTCGGAAGACCTTTTATATAACGCTCTGATGGCCTCCGCGGGATAGCTGACATTTTTTGGTCGTCTAGCTGATATTATCTCGACGGTCGAGTTCGACCATACTGGAAACTATCTAGCTACGGGTGACAAGGGCGGACGAGTGGTGTTGTTTGAGAGGAACGAAACGGTACCGGCTTCCACAATCCACTTTGACGACGGTCGGATCTAATGATACGCGCAGAAAAAAACCTGTGAATACAAATTCCACACTGAGTTCCAATCGCACGAACCAGAGTTTGATTACCTGAAATCCCTGGAGATCGAAGAAAAGATCAACAAGATCAAGTGGTGCAGACGGCAGAATGCATCCCATTTCCTCCTTTCGACGAACGATAAGACGATAAAGTTGTGGAAGGTGTTCGACAAGTCTCTGAAGGTCGTGGCGGAGAACAACCTCTCGAGCGAGCTGACTCCCGCGGGTGTGGGTGGTGGCGGCGCGCCCCGTGCGCCCCGACTGAACTTCAAGGACCCTTCCATGTTGAAGCTTCCTCGGATGACACATCATGATACGGTCGTGGCCGCTGTCCCCCGAAGGACCTATGCCAACGCGCATGCGTATCACATCAATAGCATCTCTGTCAACAGCGATGGGGAGACTTTCATTAGCAGCGACGATCTCCGAATTAACCTGTGGAACCTAAACATCCAAGACCAGAGCTTTAACATCGTCGACATCAAACCGGCCAACATGGAGGAACTTACGGAAGTCATCACAGCTGCTGAATTCCACCCAGTCAGCTGCAACTGGTTTATGTACGCCAGCTCCAAGGGCACAATCAAGCTTGCCGACATGCGGCAGCGAGCATTGTGCGACGAACACTCCAAGCGTAAGTACCCGCCACCTCTGATTGCTAGACCTCGTCTTGACATACGTCTCTTTTCCAGTTTTCGAACAAGAGGAAGACGCCTCCTCCCGCTCTTTCTTCTCCGAGATCATCTCCTCGATTTCAGACGTACGATTCTCGCACGACGGCCGCTACATTGTATCAAGGGACTACCTGACTGTTAAGATCTGGGATGTCAACATGGAGAGACAACCTGTGAAGACGATCCCCATCCACGAGCACCTGCGACCCCGCCTCTGCGACACCTACGAGAACGATAGCATATTCGACAAGTTCGAGGTTGTATTCTCGGGTGATGCAGAGAACGTCATGACCGGAAGCTACAACAACAACTTCATGATCTACCCCACCGACCAGAGCAAGGAGACGGAGATTGTACTACAGGCCGACAAGTCTGCTTTCAAGGCCAAGAAGGTCGGTGTGCCGACACCCATGAACAAGGGTGCCAATGGCAAGAAGAACGGGTCTAGAGCTGGTAGCCCGGCCGGCCCTGGCAGTCGGATGAAGAAGGAGACCGATGCGGACCAGATCGACTTCAACAAGAAGATCTTGCATATGAGCTGGCATCCTTATGAGGACAGTATTGCTATTGCTGCTACCAATAACGTGAGTCCCTCTGCCCCTGCACTCTGTGGCGTCCATTTGCTGACTGAAGCGATAGCTCTTTGTCTTCTCCGCACTGTAAGTATTTCGTCCAGGTGGCTATAATCATAATTGGACAGGGCGTGTCAGTATGTGAAACAAAGCAATCATGGGACAGATATGAGACAAATGAAACTCCTAGCAGCAGCATTTGAAGATCCAAAATTAAGTTGCCAGTTCAAGTTCAAGTCCTTCCCCTTTCGTTTTATTGGAGCTTGGTCGCGCAATGATGTTACAAGTCCTTTGTCCGTCTATTTTCCACCCTTGCTGTCTGTGAGCACCTGGATGCTATGTTGCTTCCATATTTCCTTTTACAGGGGACCCAGTGATGCTTGATGAATCTTTTGGGAGGCGTTCAATGGCTTGATAGAGAAAGACTACGTGGTACCTTCAGAGGGTTTGTTATCTGTTCTTCTTCTCCCTTTTCTGTCCCAAACCAGCCTTCTTTAGAAAATGGACCACGCTACGACAAGGTATTCTGGAAAGTGGACGGGTTGATTGTGTTTCTGTACTAGGCGATGATGAGTTCGCAGTAGTACACGATGTGCGCCAGAACTCAATCGACCCTTTTCCACTGCGATTAGAACAGGAATTCAGTAGTTCTATTAGTAGTCAAAAATTACCTAGTCACCATAGTTCGTTCTTGCTGGCCGTTTCGGGTTATGATTGCTAGTTGTAAAATACGCCAGCAGGTCGACTGTGGTAGTGTCGGACGCGGATAAGTCGGGCGTGTCAACGCCGGATTGATCAGGTCAATGACGTCGGGAAAGTCAAAGCCCGACTAGCCGGCCCAGGCACTGCTGCGTCATGCATCCTGGGCCAATCACTTTCTTCACCGCCTTTTCCGGAATATCCTTCGATCCGAGAGGTGACGCTATGGCCAAAGATGGCTTAGCGCGGTCAAATGCCTCTCCGCCTTCACTCTGGAGTCCAGCCGTGATCGGTTGCGCGCAAACCATCACCACGGATCTCGCTCACTACTGAAGAGCTAAGACTGTCATTTTGTGGAGTTTTCTCGTTGTCGATTTATCCTCTTTCATTCTGTCTTCTTGCCCTCTTATCCCTGCCTAGGCCTGTACCTATTTCCCCTATCTGCAGCTGGCAGGCATCGGCACAGTGATGTCGCTGTGAAATTGAGTTGGGAGGAACAGAAACTCAAGCCCCCGTCCGAAAGGAAAACAGTGTTGGAGCCCCAACACCCATTTTCCTCACACGCAAACCATTCTCTCTGCCTGGTCTGCCACAGCTCTATCCTTTGCCCCATCAAGGCACATTGCTGGAATTCTCTTCATGCGCATAGACCATGAACTCTTCTGGGAACGATAACTGGCACCCCGGTGGCCCGCCAGCGCACCCGGGGATGGACCAGATGAACCAACAACCTCGTCCTATGGGCTCATTTAGGTATGTATCTGGGGAGATTCCATGCTGGTGTCAACAACGTCTGTAGTGAGTTTCTCACTGACCTGACTTCTTCTCCAGTCAAAACCCACAGCCGC